TTTTATGTCATAAGGATAAAATGTTCAAATCAAAAGAAAATGGCCTATTAATATAACAGTAATTTTTACAATACTTTTAAGAGTTCAGAGGCTGTGGGTCGTTTGTCTACATCTACTTCTAAACATTTATCAAGAAAATCTTGTAAGAGTGGAGACAGATTATCTTTTTTTTCAATGTCTGGCTTCCCATTTGTTGCTATTAGATACAATACCTGAAAAAGGAGTGTGACTTGATGACTAACAACACAAAATAATTCTGATGATGAAAAAATATATATGTATATATATATAATGGAAACATAATACAATATTAAACATTGTAACCAATACTGTTAGTGACACTAGCATTATAGAGGTAGAATATACCTTACTTACAAAACACACAAATACTATCTGCTTCATGCACTATTACCAAATCCCCATCTCTTGACAACCATGACATCAGTATGGACAAATCTTTGTACAAGGTGTTCAGCTACTCTAAAGTTTTAATTTTGGAGCCATTTAGACATTGTTAGGATTAGATGACAGCAACAACAATGACCATTTGACAACACTGTATACATTAACAAGCATTTAATTCTTGAACGTACATATTATATTGTTAACTTTTAACTGTAGGGTCTTTTGCCATACTATCACTACAATCTTGTTAACCCTCTATAATTAAACAGTAACATGTTAAGTAATTCATAAAAGATAATGATGAACAGAAGTATAAAAAGAAGGCTTTGCACATTATCATACATATAGATGTATTGAATTTGGATATTGTGATACAATGATAATTTTTATGATTAACATTATTATAGAAATTTTTACTTCAATATCAAATTTCTAAATATTATTGAAAAAAGAATTCCTAACCAAAAATAAACTCTTTCTAGCTATGTAAAAAAATGAATATTTTTTAATCTTAATTTGATTTTTCTTGGTAAACTTACAATATATAATGAAATAAAAACAACCACTGACATAGCTATATATTGTACTGTTTATGATTAAAACTTGACATAAAAGCCAGGTTTTACATACATATGCTTATTAGCAATAATACTAGCCTACATTATTAAAAGAAATTATCATTGATTATCTGAAGATGTGTAAGCAAGAAAGTTTTCTGATTTAATAACTAAAAGTTTAGAAATGTACAATCCATATGAGGAATCAAGGGAGTTCCATGGTAAATATAGTGCAAAAAATAATTTCACTTTCAGACTATATTTATAACTGTTGGCCTTAGATGTTTGGAAATTATAAAACAAATTGTGTATTTATTTGGATTTTACATTTTTTAACACCAGCAACTTAAAAAAAAACATTTTATTAGAAACTGTTTGTTCTGGAACTAAGCAACAGACATATATAAAAAAGAGCAGATTTGTAACAATTTTTCGTATGTTGACAAATTTTATTTGTGCATTTTGAAGATTAAATATTTCTATTTTACAATCAAAATTTGTAATAGAAGCAGAAGAAATCAAAATTAAGTGTTAACCATTTAAATATTTCTTTTATTAATTTATCTATAACAAATGATACTAGAATATTATTTTGTTACAAATTATAAGTCTGAACAGTGGAAAGATAGTTTTGATATATAGGTGATTTGACAGGAGGAGACTCAACAAAAAGAATGTGAAATTAATGTTGTCATTAAAAGGGTATTATATAACTGGTTGGATAAAGTTAAAGTAATTGTAAAAATCTTTAACTTTTGCTAACTACGTTGAGCCTAATGAACTAACTACAAAACTGTAACAATTATTAATACACCTTAAGATTAAGACTAGCAATTTTTTAGAAGTTATTTCTGTTTTATTTTTCTCTCACATGATAACTTTGTTCTTGATTCTTTCCATTATGCAGCTGACTTTGGATTATGTGCTCAGATAAATGAACGAACATCACAGGTTGGCACTTATCACTGGATGGCTCCAGAAGTAATAACAGGGAAACAGTATGGACCGAAGGTTGACATTTGGTCACTTGGGATTATGGCTATTGAAATGATTGATGGTAAACCACCTTATCAACAGGAAAGTCTAGACATGGTAAGTGTTGCCAACCAGTAAATCCTCACACAGTAAGTGTTGGTAGTCAGTAAATCCTCCCATGATAAGTGTTGGTAACGACTGCTTACAGTCAAGGAGAAAGAGTAGATTGAATTTCAATTTTCTTCTTATTTGGATGTCTCCACTTTTAATTCTTTGAAAGTTTTAAAACTTATAAAAGCATCATATTAGAGAGAAAATTAAAGACTGATGCAAAAATGGTATACAATTTTGATTTGACAAATCTAAGGGAGTCTTCCTGTGGATAACATGATAGTCTTTCATCAACAATTTCAAGATCTTTTAAGAAGTTGAGTACATTAATGGTTTGCTTTAGTTAAACACAAATGTAAAGAAATAAAATAAAATAAAATAAAAATATCAAATATAACAGCAACTATTTAAGATAGATAAAAGAAAAACATGGATATATTCTCGTAGGAAGATATATCAAATTATAAAATGTACTGTTGCGTCAGCGAGTCACATGACCACTGTGACGCCACGTTTCTAGAACTATCTTGTTTCTTCATGAATGCTCTAGTGTTTGCTAGATGGGGTAGGCGGGTATATATAAGAGGGGACAACGTGACGCGGGGAGGTAATGTGTGTATAGACAGTGAGTAATTGATCTGCAGTCACAAGTATTATTGAGCACGTTCGTCGTTATAGCGTTTGTTTAGCGCGATTTGAAGATGAGTGT